GAACTACAGTACGTCTAAATTCACTATTGGACCAAATTAACAATAAATTAATAATTATCCAATCCTGTGCTTATCTGGAACTCTCTGGGGGGGGGGAATTTACCTCCAAATTTCCAAGAAAAGTCTAACCTTCTTTTAAAATCACCTACCCCGTTTTGGAGGAAAACTTCAAGGAAGGTTTTCAACCGTAATTCTATCGAAAATGCGACGCCAGTTTACACATTACAAATTTCTCCACTTCAGAGAAGCCGAAGAATTTCTCGCCTCCAAACGAGCAAAACACGTGTTCATTTTGGAAGCATGGGAGGTAGGAAGTCCCTTCTTACCTCCATGTTTGGAAGCATGGAGGTAGGAGTTAAGAGGAGGAGGTTACTTCCTACCTCCATGTTTGGAAGCATGTTCCTACCTCCATGTTTGGAAGCATGATCCTACCTCCATGCTTGGAAGTAAAGGGGTTGTGAGTGCGAGCGCAGTAGTCCTCCGACCCTTGACCGCAATGTGGGACGTGGGAACGATAATCACGCGCTTTTTGGGTGTATAAAACTTTCCGCTAGCTTTTTAAGAAAGTAGCGCATTCAAAAGAGAAAAGAGTTTACATAATAATGTATTAAAATTCTCAAATATTAACATTATAAATTCCCTATTCACTGAAAATTGATACATTCACTATGCACTGAAAATTAATGCACAACAGTTACGATTTCATAAAGTGTAATATATTAAACTGACGATGGTAAAGGCATTGCAACAACTAATGCTTCTTTAAATTCATGTATGAGAATTAAATTTTCTCGAACCCAACATTTTGCTTTGAGACCCTATTTAGGGTTGCGACCAACAGTTTAAGAAACGCTGCTGTAAACTAAATCGATTGCTAGAGAATAATTTCTGCTATCTGTAATTACAGATTTTATCATCTGTAATGAATTTTTGAATGAATCTATGTACATTACAACTTAATAGTTTTTGCTGTTGTTATTTTTATTTTCGCGGTTATTAAATTTACTTTGGGAGTGAAACCAGCAGTAAGATTCAGAAAATTCCAATATGCAAAACATTCCAAGGAATAATTCTGTAGTAACCACTTTGGTTTGCTTTCTTTGTTCCTTTTTAGTCCCCGACGGGAGAAGTCAGTTTAAAGATTTCCACCATATATTAAATTTATTTTTCACATAAGCGATATGAATATATAATTATTATTTACAAACATATATGAGATTATCATTTACAAACATATATTTACAGTTAATATTGATGTGCTTTGAAGGAACAAGGCACACTTCTCCTATGCAGTGTAGCTATGGCCAGAGAAAACTACTAACGTTTTTCCTATTAAGTATGGCCCACCAGTGGCCGAGCGGTAAAACGCTGAACACTGGTAGTTCGGTCTGAGGTTCGAATCCCGCGAACGGGCTGGCTGCATGGGCGTTTTCGTGGTTTTCCCCATGTGTAACGTGTATACGAGCCAGTGTCCCTTAGAAAGTCCTCCACGAAAGGCATCCCCCCCTTTAGGCAGATAGCCCTCGTGTGCTTTGCCATAACTGAATAATCCAATCCAATCCTATTAAGTATGATAGGGAAGGAGAGTATCAGGCATTGAAGTCTGAAAATAAATTATCCTGAAATTGTTTTTGAAGGATCTCAATGAAAAGAAATTTATAAGTATCGTTTTATAAGGTTATAGCTATGTTTATATAAATGTTCTAGTTGAAACATCCTTCTGACATAAAGTTTAATTTATAATCTTGACAGAAAAATATAAAAATAATATAAATTTAGGTTTAACGCAATTTATTTCAGATATCATTATTCTACATTAGCCCTCTAAACAGAATTTGATTAAAAGCAAAATGCTGTTTTACTTTTGAATTAATTTCCGAAAATTATAATTACGTATAAAGCATGATTTCTTAAAACTCGACAAAATGAAATTCAATCAGTCAATCAGAGTAGATTTTGTAAGATCTAATTGGATTCTTTTTATAAACAGAAACCGAAACATTTCACTTTATCCACCCACCAGAATGAAATCCGGCTTGTCGAAGGAAGCAAAATATCGGTAATATAAATTGTCAGGAACATACTGTATCCTGAATAAGAACATGGAACTTACTAAAGTTCTGTTCCAGATTATGTAGAATAGACGACACAAGCAGGAAGGGTATACTAAACCCTTTATTCTCTATTACTTTACAGTGTAGAGTCATTGGGTTAATTGGAAGCAGGAAAGATGAAAAATATGCAACCGCCTTCGCCGGGAATCGAACCACGGACCTCTGGAATACCGGCCCAGTGTGCTGAACCTCTACACCACAAAGGCATGCTAAGGAAGTGGGAGAAATACCTTATATATTCCCCTTTTTAAAGGGCGACTAGGGATTTAGAGGACCTAGTCGCCAAATCCTGGGTGCGGAGAATCATCATCCACAACCCTTTTAGTTCTTGCGCCACTTGTAGAGTCATTAGGATTTTTTTAGAGGCAGAAAAGATGAAAAATAGCAAACGCCATCTTCGGGAATCGAATCACGGACCTCTGGAATACCGGCCCAGTGTGCAGAACTACTACACCACGAAGGCACGCTAGGGAAGTGGGAGAGATACCTTATAACAGGTACTCCCGTACTTCGGGATACAGAGACCAACCACTTGTGGTCTGAATGTAAAAATATAAAACTACGAAGTAAAACTCTAACTAAAAGCTAACTTTGAATTTGTATACAAATGCCTAGCACTAAAACTGGCCTTTATTTAAAAGGGTACGTATGTAGTACGCCGAACTGCTGAAACTACAATACGTTTGTCAAATATCAAGAGGGCTAAACCTCTGGCCTTAAAAGGCAAACAACAACCGAGTGAAAACTCGTAAGACTATAGAGGCAAGCGGCTCACTTCCTAAATCTCCTTCTCTCACTCTTGGCAAAAACCCACAACTTAAATACTTGGGCGTTAGCAAGACAATTCGCATAAACAAGTTAAAGCATTTACTTCTGGTCGGAAGTAGAAAATAAGAAGTCATAGTACAGTTTTAAAATAAAATAAACGTTAGTAAAACTTAGGATCCTTACAAAACAACTGCACAATAAAAATGAATAATGGTTCCAATTAGTACAATTTTGTTGTGTGTTATCACGAAAATGTTACTACTTTTAGAAGGTTTCTAGCCGACACATATTTTGTTCGAATCTGCGTCCCGCCTACTACGTGGGACCTTTTTGAAGTTAAGCTGGAAGCGTTACGCTTGAAACTTCTCCCTCGTATGGTCTCCTAAGAAATTCGTATAAGTCAACCAATGAGATGCCCACCAGCGGCCGAGCGGTTAACGTCGCTGAACACTGGTAGTTCGGTCTGAGGTTCGAATCCCGCGAACGGGCTGGCTGCATGGGTGTTTTCCCCATGTGTAACGTGTATATGAGCCAGTTTCCCTTAAAAAGTCCTCCACGAAGGCATCCCTTCCTTAAGGCAGTTAGCCCTCGAGTGCTTTGCCGTAATTTAATAAACTAAATCAACCAATCATATATCCAGAAAACAAAAATCGTGGGAAATGTTTTTTTGGCTTATAGATGAAACATCTTCGCCTATAAACATGATACTAGTTTAAGACTACCTTGGAAAATTTGGCTTAAAGAAGAGAATTAAAGACTGAGTCTATGGCAGTAGCTTCAATAAATTGAAAACATTGTATTTCACATTTTTCTTGCCAATTTTCAGCAGCAGCTGTGGCAGTTTTTATTAAAGCAATTATTCTTTTCTCTGTTTTGAATACTTTATTTTCGCTTCCTGTTTAAATTATGCAAATAATTATAGTTTTTAAACCTGATCTATCCAGTGATAATGTTATACCTGACAATATTAGTTACATAGTACTTGAAGTGTTAACAATGCAATATTGCTGAATGCTTCGGTTATTAAATTTAAATATCTCAAACTAAGGTCGTTTTATGATTTTAGAAGCTAAATACATATTTTACTCATGTCAAGCCTTAGTTTTGTCTACTTCCTGAAACTAGTTGTAGTAACGGATAAATTTATTTAGACGATAATAATGTTTGTATTGATATATACGTATTGTGGGTGCTCGTAATACTGAATTACGCTTAACCAAATTTTGTTTAAAGGCAGTCTCATTGAATCATAATGGGATAAGAAACTATATTTGAATAATAAATTCGAAATTTAGTCATTTCCTAAACTTTTGAAATGAATTTTATTCTTGTTTTCATGTTTTGCAAATCGTTTACTAGGTATGTAACTCACTTTGTATTGGAAATAAATGATCACACTACAACGTACGCAAAAACAGTGGATTGTGAAATCTTTGATATGACTTCTATATACGTAAGTTCATTTATGTCAGACAGGAAAAATCTGAGTAAAAAATATGAACTTTCATTGCATTCCATGTAAATTTTGTTATTCTAACTTAATATTCATTAGATGTTGACAGTTTTAGTTTGGAAAGGGATTTCTGATATTAGATATTTATTGTTGTCTGTACTTATAAAGCATATCAACGTAACAAGACACTAAATTAAATCATTTTAATTTAGTATTTTGTTATGCTGATACATCTTATAAGCATTTCTGAATTTAAATTCAGGAATAATTAATTTCCATCATGCATTTTTTCCCTTTCATTTGATACAACATTAACTTAAAATAACTATGTTGATAGACGTTAAAATGAAATAAATACATAAAAATTATTAAAAACATTTTTTAATATAGTTGGGTGTTATTTCCTTAGTACATATACGTTACTTGAAAATAAAATGTGGGTTCTGAAACTTATTTTATTCACAACATCTTTAAAAAATTGGATTTCTATCGAAAATCACATGTTAAAAAATAAAGCATTTTCATTTTTAATAAAATGAATCTGATTACGAATTATATGAAATAGATTCTTCGAATAAAACCAAATAGAGATGAACCGGCTGTACAATATTCGTGTACAAAATAGTTCCGTAAATAATGAATAGACAAATTAAAATTACAAAAGCTTTGTTAATATAAAGTACTTTATTCACAATCAAATTGGGATGCTATGTATATTTAGCCCAAGTTGCTGAACCAATTTCCAATCTCGTCAAACCATATTCCTATCCTATATTCACGGCATTTGTTTATCCATATTGTGGGGCGATAATGATAAGGATTCATACTGCCTGGTATCTGGGTGTCCTTATAGTGGCAACGCAACCTTATGCCACAGCAGTTGGGCCCCGTTAACATTTCACATTCACCTCCTTCTGGAATGCAGTCTGGTCTGCGAAACAAAACAAAGCAGACATGAACAAATTAATTTTTAATAAAAATGAAGTATTATTTATCACAGCAAAATGAACATATGTAACATTTCCAAAGATATTATAACAATAATTCTTTCTTGAACGATTGGTCGTATATCGATGGTTCCTACTTAAGAAATGAATCGTGTAAAAGTATGCAATAATTTTGGTTGCATGGTGGTTTGTTAAAAAGTACGCAAAATTAAAAGTTTTATTAAAATTTAAAAAACTTTAAGGAGGGAAATGGTTTTTCATAGCATCATTTAGTGAAATAGAAGGTACTTTAGTGTCATACGATTTAAAATTCTTAATATATCATTAATTTTAAAATTCTGTATACTACTAAAGACACATATTATATAATTATTATACACACGCGTTCGTTGACGTACAACGATATATGTACTGAAACTAATTAGGACAAGGAGATATAGATTAAAATAATATAATTATAATTAGCGTTATGTATAGAACTAAATAAGTATCACGTATTAAGATACAATAACACGCCGAACAAATATAAATTTAGAAGTCAAACAACAAAAATCAGCATTACATTTTAAAATTTTCACAGGACTAGTTTCGATGGTTTTACCGAACCATATTCCTCAGCTGCAAAAGCTCAAATGAACGAGATAAGATATAATGATTATATAAGATAAGAAAGCCTGGACAGGAGATAAGCTTCTGGCGCCATCTGTTGATGAAACCAGAACTAAAACATAATTTCTTTAAAGTCTGAAGGCAAAGATGTATTGGAATTAGGGTCCTTAACTAGAACAGAAAGAATTTTTGAATGTCAAATGCCTCTAGAAAATTCAGTTCACCAATGGAAGATGTTTTTTGAATAATTTTGGCTGCAGAAATATTGAAAGTGTGATTTTCGGACCAACAATGTTGAGCAACAGAAGACTTCTATGTTTCCTTTTTTCTAACGTATGCCTCGTGTTCCTTGAAGCGAAATTTTAAGGCTTTCTTAGTTTGGCCAAAATTTCGAGCCCCATTTATCCTATTATCAATTTACTGCCCGCTGCATGATGACATCGTTCCTATGTTATGTATTGCTGAGGATATAATGCAGAGAAACGTTTAAATTCCTGCAATACTATACAAGGATCTTAACTCCAAAAGAACACTTTGGAGCCCAAGACCCAGAGAGGCAAGAGGACATGGGGTTGGAGAAATGTTAGGATCCATCCACTCAACAGTAGGAAATGACTCAGACAGCCTCCCAATTTTTCCAGTGCTCGAGGTAATTACCGGATAAACATAATACTTACACGCAATGTAAGCACCCTTCAAATAGATGAATGGATCGTAGACGAAAGGGAGACTTTAATTGACCACAAGGTAACTAATTTGTTTTACATTCTAAACCAAAGAAAAGCAATAAAGCTTTAAGAATGATGAAAGTAGGTACAAATTAGATTAATTTGAAAAAAAAAATCAGTTACTAAACTCTTCATAGAAATAGCTAAAGTAGTTATAAATGAGGATAACAATAAAAACATAAAGGAGATCTCAAACAATCTCAAATTAGCTTATACAGAAAAAAAAAAATAAATAAATAAATTTAAAGCAGACTAAAGAAGGGAATAGTGAAACGTGGTAGACTCCAAAACTAACTAATCTAAGAAAGACATTAAGAAAATTCAGGTAAGCCTTCTAGCACTGAAGAAGGTAAAAAAAGAAAGTGGAAAAGACAAGAATTTAACAAAATGGCTGCTAAATGCAGGCAAAATGTGTTTAAAGCAAACCTAGAATCGTGGAAAAAGTTTTGGAATAACTTAAAGATTATTTCTTCTTTTGGGACATATTTCCATATAGCTAAAAGGAAAGCTGACTTTAGCTCTTAAGCTATGGCGTATAAATAATGGAACTAACACCTGGACTAGCAATGCATCATAAGTTATGACTTCCCTCAAGATGGCAGGAACGACGACACAGATAAACATACGGAAATTAAAAACAGGGCTAATCAAATCCCAAACATAACACATGATCCAAGATTCACATAGTAAGAGGTTGAAGACATTATTACATTAATAGAGAAAGGGAAAGTCCTCAGGGGACGATGAACTCTCAAGTGAAACAGTTGAAGAACGTTTCCTAGCAGATGATGACTATTTTATAAAAATTTTAAATGACTCTCTGGGAATAGGGTATTTCCCCAAATCCTGGAAATTAGGTAATTTAGTACTCTTTCAAAAGGAGGAAAGGACAGGTCATCTCCAGGAGTTTATAGGCCCATAAGCCTGCTTTCCGCATGCGTAAAATTTTGGACAAACTATTACCGAAAAGAGTAACATATTTTCTAGTGAGTAATAAAATTCTCAATACAAAACAGTTCGAATACCCCCCCCCGGATAGAAGCACAATAGATACCCTTGAATGCTGTCAAAACAAATCCAGGAGAACAAAACACCCACTCGGGTAAAGCTCAACTGAATAAAAACTGATGAGGATACAACAGGGAAAGAAAAAGTCGATTAAGTTGGTCTTAGATATATATTTTAAATTATGCAAATATTAATATTTTGACATATTAAATTTAACCGATAAATTTTATAAAATTTACCATATTTACTTTTCTATACAAGGGTTATATTTAATAAATGATGATACTCAGTCTACGAAACAAAACATAAAAAATTTTGCTCCCATACGAAAAACATTGACAGGTATATTTATTTTTAAAATATGATAACTTGTTCCCGGATTGTATGCAAATTGAAAAGCAAAATCTTTGCAATTTTCCGTAACTAAAAGTGAAGCATCAATTTAGAAAAATGATTCTGATATTAATAGAAGTGATGGGAGTTGCTATGAAAACTATCGTGAAAAGTACTGAGAAGTATATTTAAGTACTGATATCAAATTATTTTATGGAAGCTCTTAGCCACGAAATCAGACAGCATTTATGTTTAGTGTGCCGTGAGAGACTTCGGTATTGGCACATAGCCAATATCTGAGTAAATTAAAAATGAAACATGTTTTCCAGTTCAATAAATAATTTGTATTGGTATTATTTTATGATTTTAAAGTAATGAAACTTCGTGTTAATATTAATACATAAATTATTTGCGTTTGCAAACATAAATTACTCATGTGATATTAGTTTCAATAGCAAAATTATAAATTAATAAACGTTACGTAGTCGAAAATTACAAAAGAATACAACTTATGACATTTAAAAGAAAAATCATAATTAAATTGTCTAAATTTATTTTAAGTAACTGATCAAGGCTAGCTCTAAATGACATCAAAAATCCCAAATTTTGAAATTAAATATCTCGGTCAATTTTTGTTATACGAATCAAACAATTCAACGTGTAATTCCTCATAAAAGAGAACGCTTACAAAATGTGACTATAGGAACTGGAAGACCGTTTAAAAACTTATTTTGTAGTTTTTACATTTTTTTAATTAAAAAATTACATAATATGAATATTTGCGTCATTTAAAATGGATTTTGCACATGGTTAGATATGTTTACTTCCAAGTGCTGCGGAAATAACAATTGTATAAGGACATTTGTGGGCACGATATATATCCATTAATTATTGAAGCTTAAACAATGGCAATCTGCATAAATATTCATAAATTAAAAATTAAAGCTCATTGCTGAGGCTGAATTTCTAATAATTGCTATTCAGAGTGTTATTTTTAGTTTAAAGTATAATTAAGTTTTTAATTCTTACGTTTACATATCATTAAAAGTTATATCAGTTAAAATCAGTAATCAGTCAAAAAACGACTACAGGAGAAGAGCATCTGTAAGCTGACAGAGGCCAGTAACAATCAGATTTATATGCTTTAGAAAATCTTTGGAAAACGTTGTGTCCAGAGGTGTTGACGCAGATACTTAACATATTATAGCAGCTACTGGAAGCAGTTATTCAGGTTTGAATGCATGAAATATCCTATGAATAGACTGCAAATTTAATTTTCTAGCAGCGAAATACAGGTGTTATCAAGACCAGACATGGTCCAAGAAATATTAACAGTCACCAGGTTCAATATGATATAGATTTTCACTAAACAGAGGATGCTTTTATAGCATGTGTATAGATGTGCGTGTCACTTTCTGCATGAATATATACGTATATATACATATAAATGAATGCGCGTAATTACGTTAAAGCGTGTAATTACGTTATCATGAATCATTTAACAACTATAAAACGCCTTTTAAAAAAATTAGAGTAAAATAATATTTAAATTTTCATAAGAAAAATGCTTTTCAGTTTAAAAGAAATGAATCCAGTTAATTTAGCAGCTAGCTTCTAATTTAAAATATTGTAACATAAAGGCCTTACTTGTCTTCCCTCTTTTCAGGTTCTTCTATAGGTAAGTATTTTGCAACGGCCTCCTGCACATCTTGAAAAATAAAGAGAAGATGTATTTTGGCGCTTGCGCTTGGTACGATACAAAAAATGCAAGCATGAACAAATGCATAGACTATTGCAAGGATAAGCAGTATTCTAAAATTATGTATTTAGATTTTTGCATACTAGCTCTCTAAACTTAATATGTATTATGTATTTTGCAAAGATACACTCTGCGGATTTCTGGTGATTGTACCAAATAACTATCGCTACTAATATTTCGATGCGCTTTTCTGCTAATAAAAATCGAAATGGTTCCAAGAGTACCAGGATGAGTTTCCCGTACTGTCCTGGCCAGCAAACTCCCCGGACATAAACCCAACCGAGAATCTGTGAGACTACCACGTTCGGGTTGTTCTCACCATGGATCCTCCTCCGCGAACCTAGCGCAACTGGCCACTGCATTGGAGTCAGCATGGCTCAACGTGCCAGTAAATACCTTCAGGAACCTAATTGACTCTCTTCCTGCATGTCGCGCTCCACGAAAGTTGGCTATTCTGGCTTTTGACAGGTGGTCACATTAATTTGACTGGATGTCGTATATTCCTTTATCCAATAGTTCCCGGAGGATATCTCAATTTTTGATCAAATCTGTTATCTCATTTCTGAATTAATTAAACATGTTGATGAAACATGAGGAATTACCCTGGAAGTTTCTATTCCCACCATGAAAGTCTATTAAAATTCTATGAAAACCTTTAGAGCTTTATTATTATTTTATGTCTTTCACATTTCATCATTTAATTAAGTTCTAATCTTTCTATGAACACATTAGTACAATAAAGTATATATTATTATCACATTACTACATTATTAGCATTAAACTATTGGACGTTACTACATTATTATCATTATACATTACTCCACTAATAGCATTATACTAATTATATACTATTATTAATACTATACTATTATATATTATTAACATTATACCATTATATATTATTAGCATTACACTATTAAATCTTAATTTATTAATATATTTCCCTTATTAATGTATAACTTATAAAAGTTTAATTGCTCTTTATTTTAATACTAGATGACATACCCGACGTATTTCAGATTTTATGCAAGCGTTCGTTTAAAGTGATAGAGGTAGTTATATCCAACTCTGAGATAGACAGTAATTTTTCTCTTATTTTGATTGAATATGGATAGATGATCATATGAGAAACATGGCATTTCCAAGTTAATATCTCCCATACAAGGTGACTGCTCCTATGCCTCATTGATACGCATAGTGAATGCAAGCAAGATGAGAAATAGCAGTTGTTTGAAATCGAAGGGTATCAAAGGAATTCGAAACAAGGGGTATCAATCGAATGCGCGGAGTGAATATATCCTGATCTATGGCACTCCCTGTGATAATTTCAATGAGGTGCTGAGGAAATCTTTAGAATCTCTAAGAAATCTTTACCGTTAATAAAACAATGCCGTCAGATGCGCTACTGGTTTATTAGCGATAAAACTAATGTCCCTGCCTAAAATATTGGCAGTAGCAAATTCTTAGTATGTTCCCGTGCGTTAATAAAACAATACCGTCAGTTGCGCTACTGGTTTACTAACGATAAAATCAATTGCGTAACCTGGAAACTTCTCTGTCACTGCCTTTGGTGACTTATTTGCAATTGACCTTAATCGGTTTAAAATATTGGCGGTAGCAAATTCATAGTATGTGACAGTGAAACGTTTTGAAAGGAGAGAATACACAGGCACAATCTGTCTGGTATCAAATGTGACGTTCTGCTTTACTTTTTAAATGTAACGGTGAAGCCCCCATTTATCTACTTCCACCTCCTGAACAAGGGTTAATCTTAGTTTCCTGATTATGTATCATCAGTGAACAGAAATGATAATTCTTAGTACATTTGCCATCATGCATGCAATGTGCTCTCTAGTTTAAAGCTCCACACGACCCATGAGTCATATTCTTTGATAGGAATAGCAGTGTGGAGATACGAAACCTTTATAGAAATTATATTATTATGTTGCAACTCAGTCTTTCTCTGTTCCAGTTTGTCGGATGTTTTGTTTAAGCCATTGCATTTGTGCATATATGTAGAAGACCTGGTTTTTACCATTCAACCGAATACATCTAACAACAAATCTCTCCAAATATGTAGCTTTTCGCAATAACTTTAAAGAATTTAATAAGTTATTGTTTCAATATCCTTTGTATTAGACCACGGCGATTAGTTGGTGCCTGATCTTTTGTAAGTTCAGTAGTAATCTTTGGCCCTTTAGGGTTGCACAAAAAGGGTACAAATGAATCCAGATGGTCACGGTTGCGAGCAAAGGACATAGCGCCTTGAGAATATTCGTGATGTCTCTTACTGCAAGTGAGAGTAGAGGCCAATATTATCATACTTCCTATATCGGGCAACATTCTAATCTTGACCGCAACATCCCGTAAATGAATATTGTCATTAAAATGTAATTTTTGGTGATTTAGCCTTACATAAAGAAGCCGCTTGCTTTCGATCTTCAAGTACATATCTACAATGTATTTATTAATGAAACATATGGCGAAATCGCAAGATGGGGCTTGATGATCCCTCTTTCAACATGATGCGGTGTTCAAAAAAGGGCATAAAGTATACATTTTTGTGTGTGTGTGTGTTTAGTTTCCTGTGCTAGGATTGGTGTCTTTGATGTTAAAATGATAACCGTTCTCACCTTTTCAGAAGATTAAAAGGTACTGCATATATGCGATGTGTTTCTGTAATCCTCATCAATATTTTGTTTCATTTCAAAGTAATTATGCCACGGTGATTGTGTTGTTCGTAATCAACAACGACTATGGCTATATCGTTAATGACTGGGGAGTTAAAACGCTGTTTATGCTCACTGAATGGCATGTTATCTGCTTCTAGGTAACTTTATATTCCTTACTAGGCACCCTCTCTAATACTGGCTTAAACATTCTGATAAACTGGTTTTGCAACTGAGACAAACTGAATTTCGATTCTGACAAACTGGTCTTTGCAGATTTAAAACAATATCTTCTCACTCGACGGATATATTACATTATTGATGAACTCTTAATATTTCTTTGCCCTTGAATAAAACACGTAGAATTTATTAAATTTCATCTGGAAGAGGAAGAAGGGTTTGGAATTGTGAATTTGGACCTGCACATTAAAGGTAGGTATTATACCACATTATTGAGCTGCACATAATACGCTAAAGGATGCTATTTGAAAACTTGAGTTTGTAGAGACATTAGGTATTTTTTTGGAAGCAGAAGAGATGTAAAATAAGCAACGCCTTCGTCGGGAATCGAACCACGGACCTCTGGAATACGCGCCTAGCGTGCAGATCACCACACCACGAAGGCATGCTAGGAAGGCGGGAGAAATACTTTATAAGTTATATGCCCATATATATTTCAGAAAATCCCTTAAATCTGCTGTTCTAATAAATAATGTAGCTTTTATGAATTTAGTGCGATTATGGAAATCGTAATCTGAATTTTAATTAAATGCTCCTAATTTTAAGTTTGGAAGTCGAAATACCAATCTCGATTCTTCTTTTCTATGTCTATCTGGTAGTTACATATCGCTATCTTTCCTCAGAAGTTTCCCTTACATTAGACTTAGAAGCTCTCATACAATAGACGAATTTTCCGTTTGTCAGGTATTTTCGGCTCTCAGATAGCGTACTGTTTATGAGCAAGTTTTTTCCTGACATGTTATTTTCTTCCATGGCATTTTAATAGGTTTTAATTTAATATCTAATTAGACAATTCCATGCTTTTATTAACTCAAAGGACCTATTATTTTTAATTTTCAGTTTTGTATCTGCTTCATTTTTGTGTCGAATTACTTTTCAAATAAAAAGATGCTGCTACAAATTATTATCACTATGTATTATTTTTAAAGAAATAGTATAGCAAATATGAATAATATAGCGAATATAAAAATGCATCGCAACACTTAAAACTCTATTGGAAAATTTATAAACATGCTGCTTTTAAAGATTGTGTGATTTAATATGAACGCCCTAAGTGCTGAACCAGTGGGATGGTTTTTCGAAATCTTATGTAGACAGTAACCTTTTTCATATTTTGAAAGTCGTGTATGCCATTCTCTTTTAAGATGCAGATTTGCATGAATTACAAAAAGAAAAGAAAAAAAAAGCGGACTCTGTTCTTTGTATCTATGTACATAGAATGCCTTTATAAATGACATTTAAAATCATATTTAACAAAAATACACTTTAGGTATGTATAAGAATGCAGAGCATATTTGCAAAGAAAATAATGGGCTATTACCTCCAGATTCAAGTGGAGTACCATCGGTCACAGCTATGACAAAGGCAGTCAACACTAACAGTCCCCATAATAAATTCATCTAAAAATAGCAAAAATTGATTAGCAGTGTTCGAAATCACGAAGCTTTTGTCATTACAGTTTCACTTCCTATCACATGGAGACACTTAGCAATGCGATTACATTTAAATATCATGCTTACTGCCGTTAAAATAATTGTTTGAGAAAACCTAGTGTAAACGTCTCGACTTAAGACAGCATGCAACCTAGTAAGGTAATTAATAAAATATATTTTCTACCATGGGCTTTACGATTCAGGTAGGCAATGAAACAAATAAATTATATTACTATTGCAAAGTGAACCAAAACTGAAACATTACTTTCCTAAATCACTAATTATTTCAACTAAAATTTCCAAAAAAAAAGTCTCCAGGTAGAGAAAGTTTTACTGTATCGATTTAATTTGCTTTGTAATTAAATGGAATAATTCCTGAAGAAAAGAAATGAGGTGAAACTGTAATTAACCATTGCCCCCTAGAAACAAATCTGTTCCTATTATTGTTTAAACAAGGGATAAGATAACAGATTTTTTTCCATATGAATCAGAAAAACAGAATAACTTTAAAATGTCAAAGTCTTCTTTTTTAATTTAAAAAATTATGTATATATACATATTTAAAGCTCTAAAATTTCAATTATCGGCAATCGTGACATTAGTTAATTCTGGGGAAGAATAACGCTTAGAACGCATAGCCACATGCGATTAGGATAAGCTTATAATAGTCAATCTATTATAAATGTTTGTCTCCCTTTGTCTGCAGTTTAACTGCCAATAATGATTATGCGTTTTTAGAATCATTCGTAACTCGACTTACTAAATTCAAATGTCTTATGTCAGAAAAATCTTTCACTTACAGTATTTCATTAAAGTGTAAAAAATTCTTTAAAAAAGAAAATATTTAACCTAGAAAATATTATTTTACTTAAATGTACTAAACAATGATTTTTTAAATATGAGCCATTATATAAGATAAGGCGACTGTGGCTACTTATTTTTGAAGGTGAATGTGTCAGATGGGATAAGCTATAAACTGTGGACAATGGAACCTTTCCTATTACATTTTTGGGAGAAGAAAAGATCAGAAAAATGTATTTATGAGAGACTGGTAGAAAATATTTTGGTACAGACAAAGTCGCTACCGTTTTGATCCCAAATATTAAACGCGTGGGACAGAATAAAAAAGACAAGATTTTATTCAATTTTCTTTGACTATTGTAATTCTAATTAGTATTACATGTTCATGATATATTTTAACGCAAGATAAAGTTGAAAATCAAAATATATAAACCTAGGAAAAACCTAAGAAATAGATTGAAATTGAAGAGTCATAAGGCTATTATGAAGCAGAAGATGAGAAAAATATGCAGTGCCCTCGCCGGGACTCAAACCTGAACCTCTCGAATACGCGTCGAGTGTGCTACCGTTAAAATATGAAGGCATGCTGGAAGAAGGGAGAAATAATCCTCTTTTAAAAGACGACTGGGGACTCAGTTGCCAAATCCCAATGGTGAAGAATTATTTTCCACCACCTTTTAGTTCAGGCGCCAGTATAGAGTCATTCTGTTATTATGAACCAGGAGACGTGAAAAATGTTCAGTGCCCTCTCTAGAACTCGAACCTAGACTTCTCGAATCCGCTCCGAGTGTGCTACCGTTACACCACGGAGGCATGCTAGATGGAAGGAGAAAATACCTTGTAAAGGGGGGAAAATTACCGCTGTAGACTATGTATCCATTCTATTTTTATTTAAACTATACATTTTCATTACATATACATTATATATACAACTAGGTGTACCCGCCCGGCGTTGCCCGTGCATTTAGAAAATGCAGATAAGTGAATAGCGCAGGAATAGTAGTGTAGGACATGTAGACTGTCTCTCTCTCTCCCCCCCCCCACAAGCTACAAAAAAGAAATGAATTGTAATTAATCGATTTAATGTATCGTCAAAACAGCAAACTAACGCTAGAATAAAGAAATCAATTGTTACAATCGAACGTTATTTGAAAACAAATAATAATATCAGTGAGTCAAAAAAACCGTGATTAATTAATTATAAATAATTTTTTTAAAATTTTTCTAATTCAAAAATCGAAAATCGGGCTTCGAGGTCTGGTGGCCAGCCCCTTTGTGCTTCCGTATAAAAAATTCCAGGTCCCTGCGTGCGATAGATTTGGCTGGAGAGCTCGGTCAGACAGACAAACAGACACATTACACTTGCTTTTATTATTATAGATATACATTATCCTTTATGCTTTTTGTTATCACTTTTTAGGTTGTAAATGAGATACATGTATATAAGGAAAAGTCCAAGTTCTTGAAGATTAGGCAGGGCGCAGTGGTATTTTTTTCAGAAAGAGGGAGACTGAGCCTTCGAGCTCCTCCTTTTCGCGGAAGGTGTACTTGTAGTTGTTTTTCAGTAAATAGCAGCTTTCCTTCTCAACAGCATTTGGTTCTGAAAGGAAGGTTTGGATTTCAATAGCAGTGCGCACTTCGTCAGAAAGGACACCGTGCGGTGCAATCTTCAGAATGGCACTATAGTTTCTTGATTAAACTCTGCTACAGTGTTTTTCCGAATCACCTACAAACTCGACTGAGTAGCAATGGCATATTTTTTGCCAACAGCACCCTGATGCTAAAAAACAAAAAGTTTATATGAACCACTGAATGCTCGAATTGACGAAAAAATTAAATTTCACGAGCAACGTATTATTGCAGCCCAAGTAAACCAAACTGAGGCTTCAGTAATTTTAACGTACGAAGAAGTCTAGAAAGTGAATATAGGTAGGTCTGTTAAAACTTGCAGCCAGTCATTGATGAAAATAAGGCAGAGAGAAACTGAAAAATTGAGATAAATTTCAGATTCAATGCTTTTAAATTCTCAGAGATAACAGAAGGAGTAACAGAGGCAGTGAAGGCGGCGATTGCTCTTTTGCCATCAAAAACATGTTACATTAGCTTATTGTCGTAGGTTGGATTTTATCGCCATTGAAGCAATAGTTGCCAATATTTTTCTAGGAGGGTAAAATCCCACTGTCTTTATTTTAGTTTGCAGTCTCTGTGAAATATTATCAGCGCCCATCATCTTTCAACTCTAACTCAAACGAACAAACCCGTTAACATTGTTGAGGATTTACATGCAAAGCCTTAAGAACTCTACTATATCAATGGTAATGGATGGCGTTATTGAATTGGACAGACCTAAATTGCATAAAAGTTATTTGACCTTCGCAATCAAAACTTATCCACGGGGACCAAGGAGCTCTTTGTATCTTCTTGATGAGATCAGTACTTAAGTACACCAAACCAGCTTACCCTCGTCGCTCTCAAAAACAAAGAAAAAAATTATATTGTTCCCAGCACAAACTGCTAAGAAACATACTCAGTGCGGCATGGCCTGTGTGTAACAGTATTATTTCTAATGACCTAAATATAGTTTATTTAGATGGCTATATTTAATAATTTGCCAACAGTCATTAGTAAGACTTAAACTTGAGAGGTTTCTGTAGTTACTGCACTCATACAGAACTCGATCATAAAATACTAAAAAAATTAAAAGCTGACAACAGTAAACAAATGATTGTTTTGAAAACTTTTCAAATTTTCAGTTTTCATATATTTTATCATTTCGTTGTGTCTGGATATCGTTTGTGTCCAGGGATCAGAGTGGTTTTCTTTAAAGATTTGCGTGTATTACATTAATTCCGTGCCTCGTGTACCTCTATAATTGATCATATTTGGATTAGGAATGCAAATACGTAATTCCAGGGACATTTCAGTGTTTCCTATCCTCAATTGTGTCCCCCGTTCTATAGTATGAATTCGTAATAATGTTGTATAACAATGTTATTAGTTCTATAAAAAAGCCAATAAACGTAATAATTTACTCACTGAACAAAATTATGGTGTTAACATGGAAAATATAGGTCTATGAGTATACATCTCTCTCTATATGTAACTACTAAAGCAGTAACATTGTGCAACATAAAATGGAAAAAACGTTTGCGTTGTGTATTACAAATTAAACAGTATAGTTACAAAGATACTCAGTAAAGGTATTCAGTTCTAATAATTAAGTTTGTTACATTATATCAATCGAAATTATACCAGAGTCAGAAATTCATAACTTGGATTCATAACTTTACAAGAAAGAGGAGTAAAAATTAAACAGAAATAATAAAAACTAATAAAGTTTACTGGAGTAACAAAATGAGAATTCTTTAAAATTTTAAAATTTAAATAACCTTAAAGGTCAAACTAAAACAACCAGAAACAAAACACAATAATAAAAGCCAATTCAACCTAAATGAAGTTTTTCAAGTAAAAATGCAAAAATTAAAAATTTAAAACCAAACTTCATTTTTAAGGATAGTAAGACTACTTTACTAAACTCAATTTAAGGTACACAATCACTCAAAAATCAACTTAAAGCAACCACTTCAAAATGAACGGTTAATAAAAATTAACATTAATCAAAATTAAATTACTGATAGTCAAAATTAGGAGACAACATTAAGTAGCACTAACAAATGGCGCTTCGTGCATTATTTTATATTTATGAGCATCTCTCTCAGAGACTATTACCAAAGATTCAGGTAAAAACAGCAGGTGGTTACAGACGTAAAGAAATTCTAACTTAAACAAAAAAATTTGGCAGGTATATATGAAAGTCAGCCGGGCACCAGAATTTTACCATTGGTGATACATTTATAAACCCTCTGCACTAAACGTGCATCTCCGCCTCAATTTTGATAAAGATCACTCCAAGGGACAGTCCACGGATTTCAAATCCCTTTTCCTTTATCAGAAACCCACTCAAGCAGACATCCAGATTGCCATTAATTTTGGACATGCAGACACATGACGCATAGACACTATACACTTACAAACATCCTGTGGGATTCAAGCGAGATTCCATAGGTACGATACCTAGAGTCGATACATACTATACCACACAGATCCAGGAAATGTTAGCATGAACTTCGACCGTTGTGATACCTACTCGCGAAGCTCTCTGATTTACGTTATGCACTTTGTATCTCCAACGTTAATTTTACTTAAAAATTTAATTTCCATTCTGCGTTATCTGAAATTCTATGAGAAAGCGGAGATTTAAATTGTTAGCAGAAGCCCTGCATTACAACTTTAGAGTTTAAATACAGAGTTTGATTAAACATTTTGAATCCTTAGTTATTTTCACACATGGGGCGACAAATCGCCTGACCTGTCTTAGTACGGTTTAAGAAATTAATCTGCTGGTCATTAAAATTGCGACACCATGAATAAAAACAAATACAAAAAATATATTTATTGCACGTAAACAGTATGCATGAAGACAAAATGATTAAATTTGTAAGCATTTTGCAGGTTTACAAGCGTGAGAAATTAGTAGAAACATTTGCCAGCCCTGGCAACTAAAACGCCCCTTACCGTTAGGCAAGGAATCGAACTGGGCTTGGATGACAGAAAAGGGCAATTCATTCCATGCTGCTTCCAGTCTATCCCACATCACATTGACCGTATTAGCTGGAGAGCGGTGGGTTCCAGTCTCTCAGCAACCCATGACCAGATGTTTTCAGTGGGTGACAGATCTAGAGACCGTGCAAGCCAGGGCAGCAGTCGAGTACCCTGTGTATCGAGGAAGAAAAGAACACGACTTGCAATATGTGGTCTTGCATTATCTTGCTGAAAGATGGCGTTTGGCTGGCCTCGAAGATAGCGCACAGCCACTGCACGTAAGATGTCAGAAATGCACCGATCTCCGTTCAAATTATCATTGATCCGAGCTAGAGATGTCTGTGTCGTTTACCCAATGGCTACCCATTCCATCACACCATGTGCAGGGTCCCTATGCCGATATCTAATGCAAGCAAGCGAGGTGCGGTCTCTTTGAATCCTATAGACACGTATACGGCCACCAGAATACTACACAATTAGCCGGGATTCGTCTGAAAAGACAACATTGTGCCACTCCTGTATCCAACTTTGTCGCTTGATGCACCAGAGTCACCGTCTCTATGCTGCATTGTCAAGGGAAGCCAAAGTAATGGCCATCGTGCTGATAGTCCATGCTGCTGCAAACGTCGACGCATCGTACGAGAGAACACTGGGCGTGCTACAAACATGCTGATTTCCTGACTAACGGTCCATGATGTGGTTGTTCGGTTTTTGAAGGGCTGACCTCACAATATATCTGTCCTCTCGGGCTTTAGACAGAGGAAGGCGTTGAAATCCTTGCATGCCGTAATTATGACCCTCAGCAACCCATTGTTTCCATATTCGCATGACAGTGGTTGGATGTCGACTAGCGCGACGGACGATATCACGGAACGATAATCCACAATCTCGATAGGCAACGATCCTGCCTCTATCGTATTCCGACACTTGATGGTAAGCATTCATTTCCTCTTCTTATCCAAGTCATAACACGTTATTCTGAGCAAACTCCAACCTTACAAAGCTCTTTCAGAATGAGAAATCCACTATCCAACTTTTCTTTTATGCAGTGCTTTAGATGTCGTTTCTCCCTCCTGCGTCGTCTAAATGCGCTGAAATACTAATCATCTACATATCCCAACTTCTTCTTCTTTTCATGTGATTTTGACATTCGTCAGATCATTTCTTCCTGGTGTTGCAGATTTCATGGCCAGCAGTGTAATATAACAGAGGAGAAAAACCCCACTTAACACAAAATCCATACAGGCAGTGCCACATTTAGTTTGGCTTCTTCAAGACTTCATGAAGTGGAACATCGCCGACAAACTTCATACAAGTTTTCTGTTGCGCATTAGAAATAATTCGAGCCTCTATGAGGGCAACCATTAGCTCTGATGGAAAAAGAAAATCAGTTTTGATCTAAATGGAAGGCTACTATAGCATCGTCTGGTTTTTAAAGTCAAATTCTAGGAAGCAAAACTTGTAAGTTTGATTACTGAATTCCACGATTGTAAAAAAGTTCCTCGAAGTTAGAGAGAGGGCTCGGTTGGAACCAGAGTTGTTCGAAAGATATGTAATGCGAGGTGAAAATTTGCGTTGGCTTTACGTGATTACGGCAAAGTCTCGACGGCTATCTCGCCTAATGGGTGGGATACCTTCGTGGAGAACTTTCTTCTGTAAACTGGCTCGTATACAAGTTGCGCATGGGGAAAAGTCACTAAAACCCCCATGCAGCCAACGTGTTCGCGGGTTTCGAACCTCTGGCAGAACTACCAGCGTTCCGTGACTTTATCGCTCGGCCGACGGTGGGTGCGCGAGATGAAGTGACTTTTAATTTAATGAAAGTAGAAATTGCTACTATATGGAATATCGCAATTTGAGCCATTATTTATTGTTTTCTAACTAAATTTTTGAAATCACTTTAATATTCCTGTTGAAGAACAAAAATACAGACAAATTCTTATAATTTTGCATTACGTATATAGAAATTCATTAGTGAAACAAAAAGATCTGCAAATGCATGACTTACCTTACGACGTGTAGTGAAGATTCTGCTGTGAATATTATTGTAAAATAATCTCTTTTATATGCTTAAGGTAGATGTTTTTAATATTTATACATTTTGCGTAGATACATCTGGCACGAATTTGGTTATCTTGACATATGAATTCAAATTTTTCTACAAACTGTATAAACATCAAGCAATTATTTTACATGTCATCATTTAACATTTGTTTTCTGTAAAGCTAGTGTACTTTTAGTTTAACTTACAAAAGCTGGTTCATCCATCAAACATGACTTCTTTAAAGAATGCGGTACTAAAATAACACATTTAACGAAAATAAAACTTTCCTGTTATAAGTTTCCTTTACAAAAAGAAAAAATTATTATATTTCAAGCTTTATGTTAGCGAATTGAATGTAATTGAATTTCTTTACCATTTTATATGTAAAAAGAGAGAAAGATTTTTAGTTATATTTAATTAATCACTGATAATTCTGAAACAGAATTTTTAACCTCATCTCAAAAATTTAGTTGAAAATTAGAATGTTTAAGCAAAGTCGTATCATTTCGATGTGCACTGTGAACAACTGAGTGTCAAACATACAGGCGACGGAGATTTAAAGTTTGCATGATTACAGAATTCGCTCAAAGTAGCGTGAAACCACGAGTTGGGAAATATGGCTGGCCTTCATGTTTTGAAACTTAACCGAATATAAGTAAACGATCTATTAACCATAAGTGACTACGTTGTACACCATTTTGCTCTGAATGCTTGTAAGGTATTTCTCCTGCCTTCCTAATATGCCTTCGTGGCGTGGTGGTCTGCACGCTGGTCGCGTATTCCAGAGGTCCGTGGTTTGATTCCCGGAGAAGGCGTTGCTCATTTTTCATGACTCCTGCTTCCAAAAATATACCGAATATCTCTACAGATGCGCCCGAACTAAAAGAGCGGTGAATGATGATTCTCTAAGCCCAGGATTAGGCGAATAGGTCCCCTAAAAACCCGAATCGTCCTTTAAAATGTATATAAGGTATATAAGGTATATTCTCAGAGAAGTCGTTGCTCATTTTTCATCTATCCTGCTTTCAAAAAATACCTAATGACTCTCTACATGCTATGAATGCTTTACACGTTTTTTTTACCCTTATTTTCATCGATTCCATCGATATTTAGTTTTGCATCTTGTATCATATCAGGGGATAATTTATCTTTTTCGGTAGAATTCGGAATTTGTACGTGAGGTATGAAAAGTGGAATATCTCAAAATGTAGAGATATTGTAGTATATTTACTAGGAGGCAGTGGCCAGCCAGATGTTTTACAACTAGGGGCTATCCGTTTGCCTCCCTTTTTAATGCACTCTAAAACATCAGAATGATATATAGAAATATAAATAAAATCTTCATTTACTTTTCGAAATAAACATACAACATTTTCAAATTCTCTTTTATTTTTTTCAGTAAGCAAGACTGCTGATGACATTCTAGACAGTTTGTTTCATTGCTCCATTTGCTATTGTGTAAACACTGCAGTAGCTTAAGCGCAAGGTACACATTTGTAGATCTGAAGGTGCTTCTTAATTGATATTAAGAAGACAATCGCTCTCGGAATTAGAAATTAAGACTGCATTGTAGAATAAAGTTCGTATTGTAGAATAAATAAATTTCAAACTGAGTGTACTTAATTTTGTCTGTTTCGTTTTCCTAATCAGAAAAAGAAATATGACTGAAATGAAACTGAAGTATTTCTCCCTTAGTGAATATGTCACCATGATTTCCATTTAATTAACATTTTTGGAGGGAAAAAGGAAAGCATGGCAAAAAGCTATTGAAATTTCATTGCGATTTCTTCAAATTCTCTGTCCGTTGTAGACAAAATTTGATATCATAATTTAGCATCTTGAGAGTTTTCACTCGCTTGATGGTCGAGTGTGTAAGAGAACTGGATGTTCGTAGTTTTGCTTGAAGTCAAACTCGAAAGGACGAACTTGCTACATGAAATTTTCATGATATACCCTATGTGTACCCTATGGTATACCCTCCCCAGGCTTCGTTGCGTATGTAAAGAGAAAAAAAACATAAAAATATGTATGATGATATTTACAAAACGTCAGTTGTGTTCCCTATCATGTAATTCTTCAATCACACACAGTGAAAATGACATTAAACAAATAATTAAGCTAATATTAGTACTGCTAACATATATTGAAAAATAGAATAGCATTCAGAAGTCGTTTTGCGGTTTTGCAGCTGGGGATGGTGGTTCGGTAAAACCATCGAAACTAGTCCTGTGAAAAAAAATTTTGTAAATATAACGCTGATTTTTGTTGTTTGAATTCTGAATTAGTATTTATTCGGCGTGTTATTGTGTCTTAGTTATAGAATAGCATATCAAAAATAATATAATCACATTAAAAAGATTTGAGGGTTAATTTTTAAGCAAAATATGCTTTTATGCCTGGAAGCATAAGCTATACAAAACCTTCAAAATCCCACTCATTGATATCAGAATTAAATAAATTTAACAAATGACCATCAAAATAAATTTCATCATTTCTATTCTAAATCACTTCTTTCAACATCACTATCTTCCCTTTCATTTTCTCTTTCGATGATGATGATTTCCGATTTAAGGAAAGCTGATCTATCAGTTCGGACTGATTGCCATGCTTTATCGACCCGTAAGGCTACCTCCTCATATGAAGCTTTTCTCATTCGTCCGGAATTTGTAGAGAAATGGAGTCCGCTTTGCGTCCATTCCTCCCACTGCTTTGCTAGTTCATGCTTCAAAATTCTATTGAGCGTGAGATCTAGCAGCTATAAAATTTTTGTAAGCCGCCTGGTATCACTGAGACATCAGTACTAATTTTTTTTTTCCTTCAGATTTTACCGTATCCCCTAAATGGGATCGCATTGAATCCAGAACAATAAGTCCTCCGGGGTTGGAAAAAAGCATCTTTCCTTTTTAGACAAATTTCTCTCAGCCAAACATCACTTCTTCGCACATCCGTCCTTTTCCGTTGGCGCAAATAATAACTCCTTTAGGGAAGTTTCCTTTCGGGATTGTTTTTCTTTTGAAAATTATCAAAGGGATTAACTTCTCTCCATTGGCGGCACAACACAAAACACAAGTAAAAGAAGCATTTTCATTCCCGATTGTTAACACTGAAATAGTGTTTTCACCTATTGAATGAACAGTTCTGTTCGGAGGACAGTCAAATGTAACGGGCACTTCGTCCATATTAATTATTTGCCGTCTTTTCAAATTTTGTTCTTTAATTTTCTTAGATGTGTACTCCAAAAACGCTATACCTTTTTCGAGCCAGTCCACGGCAAGCTTTTGTCCAACTGTTGTGTTGGTCCTGACAGATAATTTCTTTCGCTTCATGAACCTGAAACACCAATTAGATCCTCTAACAAAATTTTTAATGCCCATTTGTAGAGCAATTACCTTTGATTGAAGGCGAATTCTAACTGTTAATACTGATAATCCACTGAAAATCCACTTTCTATCTGCTCTATATTCCATTTCTTTAAACTGGCTTGGAAAACAGGATAGGCTAGGCACCATTTCGACGAGATCTTTTATTCTTAGGCATTTTCATGAATTCTTCTTGTTCGGACTTCCACCGCCGATAGCATCGCTCGTGAACTTGAAATTCTTTAGCCGCAGCGCGACTTCCAATTTCGATCGCTTTCTTCACTGCCAAAAGCTTAAAAGCAACTGTATAACTTTTTCTTCCAGTAGAAACCGTAATAATAGTATTTTTAAAGCGCGAATGATAAGGCAAGCAAAAAGCACGCTACAAAGCACTAAAATCGTGTAAAAGTGAACACAGCACTTGAAAAGTAAACGTAGCTGTTTCCATTCATAGGAAAACGCGGGCAAAACCAATGGAATTAAGCAGAAACTACACGCATTACGGTGTCTTTACAAACAGCGCCACTTACCTTAGGCGAGTTTGAACTCATTGCACTTAGCGCAATCTGAGGTTAGAATGTTGCAGCGATTACCGTTTCGCTTGTGAGTAACTTGCAATCTGAACTAGCAAAGTTTTAAGGAGAGAGGAAAAATAGAATTCCTTCAAATACGCCGCCGACCTAAATTTTCAACTTTTAAACACGTATAAGCCGCGGCTTATCTACCCTAAATTACGGTACTTTTTATTTATTACTAAAATCATTTAATAATTGTATGAAATTTTACCAGCTGAAATCAGTAACACGTTTTAGCCCAAAGGGACAATCTGCTCAGAAGGGCTATTATTTCGCTTTAGCATTTTGCGTTGGTCACTATAAACGACGTTTAAATTTTCAAATTTTTGCCAGAAAATACTAGAGCCTTGCATTATATATTTAAAGAAATTAAATAGTGAAGAATCTGCATGGATGTATGTATGTTTCTCCCAGTGTGAAAAATCAACGATATGTAGAAATATCAAATTTTGAATAACATAGTCTTCCACTCGAATATGGACATTTGAAAGCCCAAATTTGGAATTTGTTTTATCTATTTCATATTTTGTCGACCTTTAACAAACTCAACGAGTTCAAAGCGAGCAATGGCACTGTATGGGGAAAAAATTATCCAGCGCGCGAGACTGTCTATCGGAAATTCTAAAGATATGCTCTTTTTAAATTATTTTGTGATATTGCTGTTGAATTGAATTTTATGACTTATGTGCAAAGAACATGATAAATAAGGTAACACTCAAATCGTTAAAAATACCCCTTTTCGCGTATTATAAAATCTGAAAGCTTTCACATTTTTTCCAAAATTTTTCTTAACCTTTTACTTATTTTTTTAATTTTAAGAATAGTTAACTCCTCGTGTACGACATAGCATTACGTAAGATTTACAGATGTCAGTAAGAACAAAGCAAAAAAAAATTATATGCAGCAACACAAAACAAAATAAAATAAAGTTACAAATTCACAGATCAAAAGTAAGAAATGGGTATACTGAAGGAAGATAATGCCATTCTGTCTTGTATAAACACATGGAGACGGGAAAGAAGCTTATTATTTATAGAGTTTAACTGAGAAATGAGTTCTTTTCTTCCTTTCTAAGCTTTAAACATCCTTCTGTAAGCTTTAAACAGC